TTAGATTTTTATGTTCACACCCTTCTTTTTTATGAATTGAAAAAACATTCTTCTTTCTCGAGTGAGAATTGAACACTTTTATTGTCACTAACATCCATTAATATTTAATCGATTATAATTCAAATATGGATGAGTAAATGAGTGTTTATGGTTTATGAGGCTTATGTTTAATGGATTTGCATTTGCATAATAGGAAGTTTTACTAGGTTTGCAAATTTTGTTTTTTTTTTGCTGCTGTTGTTCATTGTTACGTAATGTTGTTGGTGGTGTCATTAGGGTGGAAATGTCTTTTAAATTATGATGGAATTTTTTGCACACTTTTCTAGTGACTTAATGACACAGAATAAATATTGATTTGTTGAAATTTTGGCTCTATTCACTTTCTTAATTGAATCAAAGTAAAGCGGTGATTCACAATAAATATTGATAAAATATTAAGCGTTGCTGCATCTTCAGCATTGATTGAAAATGAAGCGTCACTTCATCTTCCGTTTTGGTTTGGATTAAAGCGTTGCTTTATCTTTAACATCGACTCAATATTATGTGATACTTCATCGTTAGCATTGATTCCAATTAAAGCGTTACTTCAATGTTAACATGACTCAAAATAAAGCGTCACTTCGACTTTAACATTGAATTAAAAACGCTTTGCTTTTGTTTCAAAATCGACAACAAATAAAGCGTTGCTTCATTATTAAACGTTAAATTGATAATAAAGCGTTGATTCATCTTTATCATTGACTTTACAATAAAGCTAAATATTAAGCATTGACTCAAAATAAAGCGTTAATTCAAAATTAACATTGACTCAAAAAAAAGCATTGCTTCAGAGTTGTTTGACTTTTCGAATTTTGATTTATTTTAATTTTCATAGCCGCACTAATGCAATGTTTATTCATTGAACTAAATTTCAAATTATTAAATCCAGCTTCCTGTTCAAATAATTTCAATTTAATTCATTAAACTGTAAATTTTTCAAAACATATCCTCACAAGCAAAACAGCATTTCCGATGAATTATTTCATGCCATAAATAATAAAACATCTCATAAATCTATTGACAAAAAATTGTTTTCTGTGAATAAATACAGCATAAAGTACAAAATTATTTCTAGCACGTTTTCGATTTCTATTCATTTGCAACAATTGAACCAGAAACATCATAAGACAAATCCTTTCCCTTTCACTTACTGTGATAGTTTACAATAAAATCCATTCAATCCCCTATTAGCGATGATAGATACAAATAATTTAGATGAATAAAGGAAAAGGAATCGAAAAGGAATATCAATAAGGCAAAAAAGGGTGTCATGTGATCTGGAAATTATTCTCTCATATCGATGAATGTCTTAATGGAAAAAATTTCAGGCAAATTAATTTAATAAAAATGCTGAAAGGAATGAAAAAGGCAAACGATAATTATTTTTATGGAATTTATGCTGAATGGCACGAATGAAAATGTAATTAAAGGAAAACAAGCAAGAAATCATGAATTTATGACTGAATGAACTAGTTTTGTGGATGGAGGAGGTGAATATGCAACATTATAGGCAATTTTGAGGTTCTTTTTTGATTCGACTCTAGTTTAGTCTTCATTTCTCATTAATATATAAAATGCGTCTTATAACTACACCTCAAAAGTTTTCTTACTTGTCGTACTTACAAAACTATTTGATTTACTCAATAAATCCGAGCAAAAATATCCGATCAATATGCCAATAAAATATTTATTTATCAGGATAAAACGATTTTTATGTGTTTTATTTGATTGACGGGCCTTTCTGATGCCAATTCTTCTGTCCCTGCCTTGTTCTGTATGCTTTTCATAATTCATGAAATTTCTCTGTTTTTCATCTTTCAAGTGAACAAAGGATTGAAAGCGAAAGGGTTAAACATGATAGAACCAATAGAATATTAATGAGCCGAGATCATGTTTGACAGGCCAGAAATGTTTTGGTTGATAAATTGATGGAATTTCGATGTGCATGCAACCTAGCCTTGCTGTTGAAATAAAACAAAATGTTTATCTAAATTTATTCAAGGAAATTTGAAACGCATTGAGATCAATTGGACATCATTAAGTCACAAAGCATATCTAAATAGATTTCCAACTCCTCATCTCGTATTCCAAATCCACACTTAACATGATAATCCGTAAAAAAAGAAACTTTTTTTTGACAAATGAGATGAAAATTGTTGACTTATTCATCATTTTTTTATCGTTGATGTTTCATATTTTATTTAAAAAATTCGTTGAGTGGCCAGTGAAAAATTGTTCTATGATTCAGACGTGACCAGAATGGGAAACATTTTTTGGATGCTTTCTTTTTGGGTTTTGTGAAAAGGAAACTTTTTTATGATGAATAAAAAAATTGACGAAAAATATCTGTTCATTAAATTTTCCATCCAGTTGCGCACCCGATTTTTCGTAATTATAAATTCAAATCACTATTTTTATTTCATTTGAATGGAACAAAAAAATCAGGAAAACTAAAATTAAGAAAAAATTGTTCAATTTTATTAAAAATTCCCAAGGCGAATATGAAAATTAAAATGCTAATGATCGTCTCTCGATACCTTCACTCACGCGTTTAAGCACTAATGATGGTTGAAATTATAATAATAATTAAATCTACGAGAATTTTTTAATTTCTTTTCTCGGGACGCATTGTGCACAATACTTTATTAATATCAACTCACTATTTTTTGTGAGTAAATGAGACCATGCAATAACAATAAATATCTCACATTAAAGCCATTGCATTCAATGTTTGGCAAGATATTTATTGACAATAATAAGAAAAGGGGTTTGAAGGACTCAAAAAGGGACGCGCGAATGGTAAAAAAGGGTTTGATTTTAATTTTAATGTTTGGTAGTTTGTTGTTGCCATCAGACGCTTTAATGAGTTGGAATTTTGAGAGATATACCTCAATGAATGATATCATAATTCTGGATAATGATGTTTGCTGGATTTTTTGAGAAATATGCTGGTTTTTGGTGGTTTTGGCTATTTTTATTTGGATTAACTGTCGTGAGCATTGTTCGAATTCTTGAAATGTCGACAACAGTTTATATAATGATTGAGAGTTCGTTCTCTGGTGGAAATCGAACCTAAGTCTTCACAAAAAATAGAGCAACAGATATCCAGTCTGTTGCCTAACCACTCACGCTACAGAGGCTTAGCTCCCACACTGTTAGATTCGCTTATATATAGGGTTACCATCTGCGTAGTTTTACAACGGACAGTCCTGTATTTCAAAACCCTGTCCTGTATAAATTTGAAAATTTTGTTCCAGGTCCTGTATTTTTTTCACGAAAATTTCCGTTAATTTTCAAATTTTCCTTTGTGTCCTGTATTTTTTGGGAAATTTATCAAAAGTCCTGTATTTTCATAAAAATTAGATGGTCACCCTACTTATATATAGCTTGATAACCCAGATTCCACTCTACTTGGATTGAGCTAAAATGGCTCGGTAGCAGAATGGTTTAGTACTTTGATACATAATTATTGCAATACCGACACAGCGATCATGGGTTCGAGACTGGGTATGGGAATTTTTTTATTTGTACTTTTTTCAATCATATATACTGAAAATGAGTCTCACCTGCTTTATAGGCTACAGACAGAAATGTCATCAAAGAAGTGGTTCAAATTTCACTATAAATTGTAGGTCTAGGTTTTAGTGCAGTGGTCTGGCGCATCCTCACTCGTTAAACTCTCATTAGCTACGCTCTAGTGCACTTCTGGATCACAATTCATCTGAATAGGTAAAAGTTTATTTGATATAACAATGTTGTACCTTCCACAAAAATTATTCAAAATCTAGCAAAGCGTAGAAATTCGTGCGCTTCTTACAATTTGAATTTCAACTTCTTAACAATTTTTCTCACAACAACTGACAATAAAAAGGACGCGACAAAAACAATTCCCATTTTTTTCAATTACGCATGTAGCTGATTTATTATCGAAAACGCTCCTTATTTTTTTTTATTAAAAATATAAAAAATATTTAAAAAAATTTGTATCGCAATGGGACGCACAAATAAATTCAAAGATCTGTTTTTAATGGCTTTTAATATCTTTTGCAAGGAAGTTTATCGTCAAATTTATGACAATTGCTTTATGAGAAATTCAAACATAGCTTAAAAAATATTTTTTTATAATCCACAGGTCTGCAATAAGCAAATAAAAAAAAATTGAAAATGTAATAAAATCGTCTTCGCGGAAGGGTTAAGAGGCAAGGATGCTCTCATTACTATTATTTAAATTACATATTTATGCTAAATGATGTTAATAGCATACGGCTTGTAAGCTATTAACATTTTATATTCTCAACCTGAATTTTAATGACCTTTGAGATCCCTTTGAAGGAATGGAGAATAAATTTTCAAAATTATTAAGCTTACCAGCCCAATAATGCCTTCTTATTTCCTCTACAAAAATCGAAAATCACACAAAATCATCATAAATTTCCTGCAAAAATCTTCAAATAATATTATAGTAAAAAAATAAATTTCTTTATATTTTAATCTTAATTTATTAACTGTCTTCATTACTAAGCACAAAAAAATTATATTTTTGAATACAAAAAAAATTAAATTATGATAAAAAACAAACAGCAAATAATTGAATGAATTTATAATAATATATTTAACTCACTCGAGTGGCGTGTACTTGTGATGATATTCTTATTATTAAGGCATTGTTTCATAGTCATTTTATGGGTGCATAAAATTTGATTAATTCATCTTAAAAATTTTGAAATTAAATATTATTACAATAAATTACTTAAAGGATAATAAAGATGAATAACAAAGAATAATGAAAATATTTAAATTAAGAAAATTAATGAAATTATTTGGTGGGCTGAGGGATGACTTTTGAGGCTTATGGATGAGCCACATATTTTCAAAAATCATCCCAAAAAATTGATAAGTTATAAAATACTTTTTTAATTTTGTCAACTCTAAACTAATCAAATGGGGGGGGGGGGGCATATAAGGCATTCAGACAACTTTTAATACCCAAAAACATTACAGAACAAAGTGCTTCCATAACCTTAAATTCTAATAATCAAAATTAATCTTAAAAATGATCAAACTCCTCAACACTTTCCATGAAAGTTTTTACAGACTTAACTAAATTTCTCTTTAAAGTAGCTTTTTCAAGCGTACGCTTTGGTTCATTGTTTGATGTCTCCTTAAATACTTGTCTACCGACCATTGTGGTTTCAAGACTAACAACAACTTCTTCCTTTGGTTTCTGTTTACGTCTCAGACTATGTCGAATTGTTTGAAATATTCCTTCATGCTTTGGTTCTGTATTTTCTGATGATTTTTCATTCTCGTCTTTTGACTTTGGATGCATTAATTTTCTGATGCTTCTGCGGATGGAACCGCCAAGTTTTGAAGATTTTTTAACTGGTTCGAGTGTTGGCTTTTTGAATTCTATTGATGCTGGTGCATCTGTTCGGTATGCGCGCTTAAATTGACCTAGTTTTCCAACATCCTCAAATGAGTCGACTTCTTCAAATTGAACATCGTCATTGATGTCATCATTGTAATAGTTTTCATCGTCAACGTCACTTTCTTTCAATCCTGACAAGGATGCAATATTTTTGGTAGCTTCGTCGACTGTTTTTAAAATTTCTTTGGTAAAAGTTTCACTGTTGATTTGTTGGCTGACTTCCTCAGCATCTGCTTGACTTTTATTATCAAATTCATATTGTTTATTCTGAATTTTAGCTTCGTTGATTGAATTTTCCAGCTGCAACTGATAATTATCCAGTTCCTCTCCAATATCAATTTCCTCTTCACTAATAACTGACAATGATCGTCCAGCAATTGTTACTGTTGTATTCTTTTTCGGTGTCCCAATTGGAGTTATCTTAGCCTCATTATTTTCATCCAATACCAACTTTGTAGACAGCAATGAACTCGGTGTTAAATGTTCGGGCATGCTCGAAAAATCAATGCGATGATTGACAGTCGGTGTGAATGGCAATGGTAATACAAGAGCTGTTCTGACTGGATTATTTAAATCCAATGCAGAGTTTTCAATTCCACAGACATTTTTCGGTGCCTCATCCTCGTCACGTTTAACTTCAAAAGGATTTGTGGAAACTTCTGTACTCGCCTTTAACGGTTGCTCATTTTTAATGTCAAGTGCTGGATTACTTACACCCATAGCAAGCAATTTCGCTTCTGTATCATCATCACGTACGACCTCAAATGGATTTATGACTTTTTCATCAACTTTCAAGTCTAATCCTGGATTTACGAAACAACATTCTTCTACGACTGCCTTTTTCTTCTTCTTTGGTGGCTTTCGAATGACTTCGTATTCAGTTGCTGGTATTTGTAATGCTTTCCTTTCGGCTACGATTTCAGCAATTGATTTCACTTCCATGCATGACTCAGAAAAGTGGAAATTCTCCTTGTTGTTGTGGTTGTTATTGTTATTGTTGTTGTTGTTCATTTTTATTGGCGTTGAACTGACAAATTTTTGAAAATTTTCTCGCTTTCTCTTCTTGCCTGGTGTGTCCATGGCATCGAAGCTTGCATTTATCATTGTGAATTTGAGAATTTTGTCTTTGGTGTATTTTAACTAAAAGTTAAAAGAGAAAGTAATGATAATTATCGATAATTATTGAATTTTAATGAGACAGCAGGTGAGAATTTCTTCAAAATTAAAAATAAGACTAAAAGAGCAGAGTGGAGTTTTGGGGATAAAGAAAGGAGTAAGGATGAGGATCTGTATGTATTAATTCAAAATGATAAAGGTTTTGAATTCAGACTTGAAAACAAAATTAGAAGTGAGATTCAAAAGGAAATATCATCTGGATCAAATTGTTACATCCTTATTGCATTGTTCCTGATTAATTTATTTTTCAACCGTAAATTGAATCATTTTTGGGAACAACAGGTAAAAACTTACTCAATAAGACCTCCAAAAGTGAAATTGGCAACAATGTCGATCATTTTGATATGGAACAATAATAAAATCTCAAAAATTGATCCATATAACAGAAATATTCAAACTATAATCTCAATGTATCAGGAACATCATACCAAACTATAGTAAAACTAGTTTTATGATTTAAAATAATAAAAGATAGCTTCAAAACTCACAAAAATTCAACAATTTAAGAACAAATTATCTCTTCAAACCCTTACAGGAAATGAAAAATTAAATTTAAGGATTTTTAAGAGGGAACAATTGTACAACTTAGACACATTTCTTGAAATATTCAATTAAACTATAAAAAATTCATCATTTTACCTACCTACAAAGTTGAATTTATAAAAATCTTTCCAGATTTTTTCTTAGTTTTGACTTTAATTTCAATTTGTTAAATAATTTAAACTATTTCTTATTTTTACAATTTCTTTATACTGATGTAGTTGAGATCAACGGATATTTGATGTGTAAAACGTTATATACAAATTTATATCATCGTACCCCTTAATGTTAATAGGATTGATGTCTCTACTATGGGATATTCATGCTTATACAAAGCATTTTCTGAAACTTTAAATACTAAACTTCTAGATAAGATCTCGAATATTTCAAAACAATGCTCAACATCTTCAAATTCAAACGAAATTCACCATTACAAGCCATACACTCCTAACAACAATTAATCCACTAACCCTAAAATATAACACATTATACCATAACATAACCCCAAATGTTTACAAAAAGAGCAATAGAAAATATAGAACAAGAAAAATTTTCTTTCAGTACGGAAGAAAATTTTGAGTCGTGATGAAAAAATTAAATAAATGACAATTAGCGAACAAGTAATGAAATAGCACAACCATGGCTAGTTTTTATATGATATTTTCTGATGAGGACGATGAGGAGTTTGGTGATAAGAATAATCCGATGGCTGCAAATGACGATGATGATTTGGATGCGTAAGTGTGAAAAAAAAATTTTCTTACACCCCATTTTTACCCTAATTTCCCGTTCCACATATGACCTTTGCATGTCTAATTCAGGATTATTCCATTTCTTCGTTTTCTTGCATACAGACAAAAGAATAATAAGCATTATGGTGAGGATGGCGATGAAGAAAGAAGTTCAGCTACTGACTCAGAAAATTCTAAAGTAAGCTGGGAAGTATTGCTTGCAAAGCTCGTAACAGCCTATAAAGTCATCAATAATCAAAATACAGTCATCGGTAAATTAGGCTTTGCAATATTAATAAGCGATAAAAGCCAATCACTCAAAATTATATTATACAAATCAAAAATCGATCTTCTTTCATCGCTCGTTCTTCGAACAACAAATAAAATTTATGTGAAGGGAAATTTCATTCAATATTTAGATTCACACAATAATTTCTGGTCTGTATTGTTCGAGCACCCCAACGATCGAGACGAGGCAATTAGATTATTGGAAGAACGTTGTGAAATCGAAAGGGATGAGATGGAAGTCTCAATCAAATCAAATACAAATGATTCGACCGTAGTTGTTGGTAGTAGCAAGGACGATGAGAGTGAAAGTCATGAGAATGCCAAAAATGATGATGTTGTTGCCACCACAGATGCAACATGTGATAAAGCAGTTGAAACAGATCCAGAAGATAAACAAAATAAGCAAATGAAAGCCAATATATTGACACGTATGGCCAAGATGGGAAAGCGTTTAGTACCATCAAGTAATAAAGCATCTGGTAGTGATATAAGTGATAGTAGTGATCCCGAAAGTAGCCCAAAGCGTCAACCACGCAAGCCAAATGCAAATTCATCACCTATTTTGCAAGTTGCCAAATTGCAGCCCGCACCACAAGCTCATTCAATTGCTCAAACCGTAGAATTTAAAACTAATAGTCACCTTGGTAACTCAATTATTTCCGCCGCTTCTTCCGACACAAGCCTAAATTTAATGATGATGCAGAACACGGAAATACGCTTTAATCTATCGAAGCTCGATAGCAAATTGGATAAGCTATGCGACAAGCTTGAAGTGCTTAGTACAGCGAGTAGTCTTAGTGGTGGTAGTCACAATGATAGAAACAATAATGACAGTATTCGCGAGGAGGATATTGTTAGACTCGAAGAGAAACTAATAGCAACGAAACGTGAAAATTTGAGTCTTAAATCGATAATACGCGACCTCGAAGACAAACTGAAGACTATAGCGTCCAACATACATTCCGTTGATGAAATTAATGAACAAAAAGTTCAAATTAAAGCTTTACAACAGGAAAATAAAAACATATCATTAGATTTAGCTGATAGTAATGATCGTATACAGTTATTAGAAACGAAACTAAAGCATTCCATAGAAATGTTTGAGGAGCGTGAAATTGAAATGAAGACGAAGGAGGCCGATTTGGGGGAGCTTCGTTCACAGCTTAATATTTCTAAACGTTATGCACAGGATTTACAGGTCACCCTCGATGCCATTAAAAAGCAACGCGATAATGTCTCAAGTAAAGAAATTCAGACCGATAACTTTCCCGTCTCAAAGGCTTTAGATCTAAATGTCAATGTGCCATCAGAAGTTGTTATAAAGGAAATTATGAATTCACTATACTTCCGGCTTTGCGAGAAAATTTCCAACATAAACGAGCTAAAACACAGCGAAGTTCTTAAAATTATCGGACAAACGATCAAACATGAGACGAGTGAATGCCTGCGAAAAAATACGTCCTAAATATTATACTAAAGTCTTGAAGACAATATTAATTGTTGTTGATGAGATTTATTAATTATTTTACTATTTCTATTATTCTAAAGCTTTTACCGCTTTTTCGCTTTTTGCTGATTAATAAAATAAAATAAATTCGAGAAAAAAATGTTGAAAAAAAAATTAAGAAAATCGGAAGTTGTACAAAAATTTTTGGTTTTGTGTTTGATGAAGCTAGGAATCCTACTGCCACTAGATTCATAATTAAGTTTTAATTTGAGGTCTGGAAGGAGCGATTAAGTCAAATAGCTTCAATAGTCATGTTTAATAGGTTACAAAAATGCATCAGATCCATTTGCTAGAGTCTATGAGTAAGTTTCTTCTAGAAATTGATACAACATTTAATAAACAGCCTGTTCAGCCATCAGATAAACTAGCACAAGTCACTACATTTTGGTAATTCTTTTAAGGTTCACTAGAAGCCTGATAGTGTTGAGTCAATTGTGTAACGGTTAAATAATTTTCAAATTTTTCTGCGAATTATGGGAAGCATCTCCAAGAACTGTCAATGATAATTTTGCAACCATTAAAAAATTCCTAGAGAAAATGTAAATTTCAAAAACTCATTTAAAATCTTCAGAATCAGAATTTCTAACCCCACAAAAACCACGAATAAATTTACAATCTCCAGCATAACCTTTTATTCCATAACATAAAATCCCATTTGTTTACCATCCACACTCACCTTCCCTTCGGCAATCATCATAAAATTATTTTTTTTTGTTGAGCTACAACATTCATTATGCTAAGTTTATTTCAATATTTCGTATCGATAAAGTAACGTGAAGAGTTTTCGGAGTGCATCCGATACAAAATCCTGTGACTTGTCGTCAAGTGTTGAAATAAAATCCCCAAAAATTATCCCAAAATAGAAAGAAAGTGGAAAGAAATTTTGTGGAAGAGAAAAATAAAAAATTTTGTGCATTAAGAAAAATAAAAATAAAATAAAGGAAAAAAAAAATTGTGTGTAAAAAAAATTTATTTTTAAAATAAAAAAAAAATATTGTTGAAGAAAAAAAAATTGTGGATATAGCAAGTAACAAGTTTTGTGTAATATTAGCACATCATTATTGGATTAAAATGTAAGTGACCTTGTTTAATCCGCTAGGAATCTCATTATTATTATTGTGAATTTAAATTCCTTACTCGTCGATACACATTTACTTTAATCTTATCACACATCCGCGATTTACACAATTGAGTTGTTCTGCAGCGTGACAAGACGGCAAACAATTAGTCACAAAGTATTTAATTCCGATTTCGTGCAAAATTAATAATTTTATGGATGGGAAATGAGAATGTAAATGCAAGGAAAAGCGATTAACTTGGAAGGTTATCTGGGAGCGATGATCGAGGCACATTTCTGTTGTGAACGATCGGGAAAGTGAATGGAAAATTTGTACAATTTAGATTCGGTTGAATTTTTATTTGTGAATGATTTGCCAAAAAGAGTTCTCAAAACTTAATGAGAATACCCGGAATTTTTTTTATTACATTCAACAAATATTGAAAGTGAATTTTATTCTATGCTGCATATGATTCTGGTTTCTGCAGATTCTGGTTTAAGCATTTAGTACTCTTATGCGGGCTTGACAAAACATAACGTACCACTTAAGTCTAGATCAGTGTTATCCAAACTGTGTGTGGCAGCACATTAGTGTGCCGTAAAAAATTTTTGAGACTGACACGAGCCGGATGCTGTGTGCGACTTCGGTTATGGCTTACCCCTCATGTGTGCCGTGGCTCAAAAACTATGGACAACACTAGTTTAGGTTGTGACTTCTTTATCTTCTGTTGTGTTCCTTGTATTGTCATGTATCTCATATTGATCTTGCTGTACTCGTTGAGCATCTCTATCCAATTTTAGTATATCTGTCTTAATCACATCTAGTTCTGGAACGTCCCTATAAGTTTTTATTGAACTAAACCTCCTTTTGTAACATTGTTAAGGACCAGGAACTTGTGCAAAATAGTAAATTCATTTTCTATGAAATACTTATTATAGGTTGAAGTTAAAACCTAGTTAACGACTCAATAATCAACCCTACAAACAGATTTTTCTCAAAAAATCAGCTATAATCATTTTCTTTTTTCCTATTACCGTGCTTGAAGAAGCACTTGATTTTCCAAGACTTAAATTAGAGTCATTTTTTTTTCAACATCAACTCTCGAGAGAATCGAAACGAGAAGAGCTACATAAAATAGAAAAGAACAGTAAGATTCATTAAAGCGAAAACCCACTTACGATATGGGATGTTAAATAATTTTACATGAATATCGAGCTACTTGACAAGATGTGTCATTGTGTAACAATTCTCATTGTAAATATATGCTCTAGTGTCATTTGCGTAATGCAAACTGCTATATCTATAATATGAGTTGTGACATTTCATTGAAAAAAATATAGTTATTATTATTATCATTTGAAGCCATAAATACTCTATCTTTATTCCCAATAATTGGCTTTATTTCGCTAATATTTGTCTTTGAATATACAGCACAGCGTCGAACGTGTGTGGGCGTCAATTTAATTCGCAGTCATTCAGTCTCGATTATGATTGAGAAAGCAGATGACAGAATATTCTTGAAAATGATAATTTTTCCATCACTCAGCCACAAGCCTCTCGAGCACTAAACCCAAATCCATCAAATTTTGACGATAAACCCACCTTAAAAAATATCAATCGAATCAATTGTTATGTCTTGACTGGAAATAGAAATCGTCTCACATAACAATGGTGTGTCTGTGTGCTAAATGCCATTTGAGCCTCGTTCTCTCGTGTCACTTCCATAATATGAATTTATTGCATGCCTTTTTATCGTTACCTTAGCGACCTGTTGATGCACATTCAGTCTTCTTTTTATTATTTTTTAGTTTTTTATGTGATTTCAAACAGATGGGCGCTCATATGTTGTATTGACTCCAGGGGTGTAGCTAGAAGCTAGGTGTGAATTTAAATTAGGATAATTGAATAAGATTTGGGTTTTTTCATCATATCCGCCACTGAATGATTCGATGAATTATCATTGAATGGAATTAAATGTTTTGCAATTTTCAAGTTGAAATGATTTTTCATTTATTCATATCACATGCAGTGCTTCTAGAACGTTTTGTGACTATAGTAATGAATGAGTCACAGACGTAAAATGTAAATTTCTTTTTTTTAATTGTTAACATGGAGATGAATGACGCAGTATGAAAAATATATTTGGAATCTCGTGGAAAGTCAGTTGGTGTAAACAATACAGACTGACGTAAACCTTTGCGGTTAGATTTTCGGTGTTAAAGATTTGTTTTGGAATTTTCAGAAGGGTATTTTTGGGATTTTGAAGAATTTTGTGCAATTGAATCGTGCTAAATGTATGAAAAGTCCATTAATGTATTTCTCGAGAATGAATTAAAGCTTAAAAGCTCTCCATTCATGAATTTTCCATTCCGAAAACCTTCCATAATTAATTATCATCAATTTTCATCTATAGGTAAACAAATCTGCCGCGTCTAGCCATGCAACAATGTCAAACGTATTTATATTTCGTGTTCTGACTTAATTGTAAGCACTTATTGAATGTCCATCAATCATGAGAAATATACATATTGTTATAAATCCATAGCAACAATTAGGAAAATTATTAAGGCAAATAGGGGTTCGTTTATATGTGATGTCATCATATGGAACCATATTATCAACTGTTAGAGGCTTAATCATTGGATGGTGGATCCATACACAATTTTTTGGGAGTTTCTAATAGTTATCATTTTTAATCAACCCCAGAGACCCCAGACAAATCCAAAGAGTCAATCAAAATGTCACCGACGAGACAAACATTAAGTGACCTCAAAAAAGAGTAGACTTTAAAATGAGGTACGAAAACCATGCCCTCGAATTGTTTTGTAAAGCTAGTTTCACTGAAGCCGATATCCATCGCACGAGTTATATAACATAAAATGCACAGCCACAAACATCATCACATGAATCTCTTTTTTTTTAAACGTTGAGTCTTATGAAATTTTTATCGCACATGTCTAAAATAAAGAAATACAATAATGAAGAAAAAGCTTTAGCGAAATGTGCTTGCTGAAGGTTGAAAGCGGTTTAACTAATTGATATGTGTGTTCGGTCTCGATGCTTCCACTAGATTGACCAATAATCCTCTTAAGGGTTTCCACTGTCATTGGGACGTCTCTAGAGAACTTTTTGTATCGCATCATTAATTGTATTTTGTGATGCGGAATTAAATGATTGAGCTTTGCTTGTATGAAAGATAAATAATGGGATTATAGAGGAACTAATTGAAGAAATTCTTGGGAAATTCTTTTGTGATTCAGTTGCCTAGCTTCGATACTGCAACATCGATACATCTACAATGCCTGCTTTTCAGCAACAATTCAATTCACCATCGGCTTTTAACCTCAAAATACCATCCAAAATCTTGAAACCAGTTCAGCTAATAATAGAAAATATTTCTATGTCCAACCTTCTTCAAGTTCAATGCAATCAGCTCCCTTTCAAAAGCCAAAAAATCAAGTTATTCACTTGCTTCATCATACTTAAGTCCAATATCCAGTCCAATTTACACAATGTAACATAAAAATGTATTCAGATTTCCATTGCATGTCCATGCAAGATGAATAAAATTTGAGTATGAGATTAATATTTGAGAAGGGCAAGGGCGACGAATCAATAAAATGGAAAGCAAATTTGAATGATATTCAATATCAGCTGATTTTTTAGAGGAAGGGAAGTGTAGCTTTTTGATCTTCCTTATTTACATACGTCATGCTCTACAATATTGTGCTTACAATGGCGAAAAAAAAAGTTTTTATTGCTGTTGCGTGCTTGTAAAAAAGCAATATGAGGTTTTGATTTTTTTGTTACTATCAAACTGAGGGGGGTGTTCTAAAATGACGTCTATCAAAAAATGGACGTTAATTTTCTGATAGACGTCATTTAAGAACATTTCTTCTATTTTATTAGTTTTGTCCAAGTTTATGATGGTCTAGGACATCTTTAGACCAGGACAGGTGTACTATAGGCTGAAGAACTTAAAAGCTTAACCTATCTAAACTAAATTTCTGGATACAATTACATAAGATGCTCTAA